GAATACTGTGTTCAGTTTTGGGCCCGTCACTCAAGAAGAATGTTGAGTTGCTGGAGTGTGACCAGACAAGGACAATGAAGCTGGTGAGGGGTCTGGAGAACAAGTCTTATGATGAGCAGCTGAGGGAACTGGGGTTGTTCAGTCTGGAGAAGAGGAGGCTGAGGGGAGACCTTATCGCTCTCTACAACTCTCCAAAAGGAGGTTGTGGTGAGGTGGGTGTTGGTCTCTTCTCCCAAGTAACTAGTGATAGGACGAGAGAAAATGGCTTCAAGTTTTGCCAGGGGAGGCTTAGACTAGATATTAGGAAAAAATTTATTACAGAGAGAGTGGTCAAGCGTTGGAACAGGCTGCCCAGGGAGGTGGTGGAGTCACCATCACTGGAAGCATTCAAAAAACTTGTAGACACGGCACTTTGGGACATGGTTTAGTGGACATGGTGGTGTTGGGTTGAAGGTTGGACTTGATGATCTTTGAAGGTCTTTTCCAACGTTAATGATTCTGTGATTTCGTGAAAACCAGCTGGAGAGCACTTGCCCTAAGCTTGTTGGTTGTGTCTGTGTCAGACCACCAAAGGGAATTTAGTTAGTACGTGCAAGGCAGAGACGTGGTAAGGTGCCGTTTTCTTGGGGAGAGACAGAGAGGTGACTTGTAGCCTGTGCCACTCAGAGAGGTTTCTTCCAAAGGAGGGAGATTATAGTGTAAAACTGATACCTTACTGAGACTGATTTTTTAATTTTACTTATTTGGTAGAATTACAGATTTTGGTTTATAGGCTCCTCCTAGGCATTCTTGCGCCTTGAGGACCTTCAGGTCCCCTGATGGCCAGCACTGTAGGGTCAGAGATCAGGGGTAGAGCAGTGATTTTGTAAGAAATGCTCACCAGCTTGTTTTGAAGGTGAAATTGAAACTGAGCTGAAATCTCCTGAGTTCTTGCCTAGTGCTTTATTTATATGACTCTTCTTCCTCCCATGTGAAGGTTAGGAACAGTTCAAAATGTCAGTCCTAACCAACTCTGAGAAACTAATAATGTGCAGCTCAAGAAGGCAGAGTATTTTGGTGAATTAGTGTAAAGAAAGCTTGACATTTTGGTAAAGAAGCTAAGCCAGCCCTAAATAAAGAACATGATTTCTCTTTGTAATACCAGGTGCCCGAATAAAAATAGAAAAGCTTCATCAACTTTCTCTTGAACTCTATAAGCTCCTCTAAAGTGTGTCCTGCTAAAATTTCTACTAATCCAAACCAGTGCTCTCTGAGACTCACTGAATTCATACTGGGTTAGAATTAGTAAGTCGTTTTAAAGTAAAATTTCCCACTGTAGTTTATATAAAACTAAAATAAATTGATAACATGCATAACCTTTTCAGTTTTGAAACTTTAAGAAATAGTTCAGAACTGGATGGAAAAAGCAGTTTGATCAATTATGATCAAATCACCTGCATGCACCTTGTGTCTCATGAATATAATTTCTTGCCATTTTTTTATGACCCTCATTTAGGATATAAGGAAGAAGAATTCAACTGGCCCTCATACCTAAAGGCATGCAAGGCTCAAGCTGCTCCTAAATCATTGTTTGAAAACCAGAATGCAGTAAGTACTCAGTTGTTACTAATGGTGTGGAAAGTTGCTTGTATGCTCATGTATGTGGTAGAATTCCAGCACACTTCAGTGATGGCAGACTTGGTACCTGAAATTTAAAATAAAAATGTTTACAACAAATTCGATAACCATCTCCAGTTCACCTCTGCAACTGTGACCTATTAATTTTTTACTAATGTGTTTAAAGATCTGATCTGGCACATTCAGAAATGGTATATTAAATTAAATTTAAGGCTTGTTGTTAGTACTGTGTCTCACACCCTAACGTTGTGGAACAAACATTGCCTTTCAGAGAGAGTATCTAAGACCAAGTTAAAACCAACACTTTTAAAATTAATTAAATAATTAGCAGCATGCTTAGGGCTTTTTTACTTCATAAACCACAACTCTCGGTGTTTGAACATCTCTCTCGTCAACTACTTAGGCTGCTGCCACTCTGTTGGGGCAGCTAATTGGGAAACTCAGAAATGACATGAATATATTGATTGTGGACACTGGGGAGATTTCTGGATTTATAGTGTTTATTTTCCATTAAATGTCTTTCTCTATGTAGACAGTGATTCCATCGGGATTTCGAGTGGGGATGAAGCTGGAAGCCGTAGACAAGAAGAACCCGACTTTCATTTGTGTTGCTACAGTAACAGACATGGTGGACAATCGTTTTCTGGTTCATTTTGACAACTGGGATGAGAGTTACGACTACTGGTATGATGTTTTTGTTTTGTATCCTAGTGAGACATATTAGAAATGTGTTAGCTTTAAGCGCTATTTTCTGTGATACTTTCCAGACTGTCGATACAGTTACCATACCAACTTTTGCTAGATTTGTGATCATGGCCACCAAAGTGCATCTCAGTGACAGACTGGAGAAATCAAATTTCCCATGTCAGGTTGCACGTAAAAAATTTCCAGAGATTGTACTAAATGAGCGTTCCAATGTGCTACTACATCCGGAGTTGTGGATTAATTTCTCATTTCAATTACATACTGTGGTTTAGTGAAGAATATACACCATAATAATGTGACTGATTGTACTTGGAATTAGGTTTACATATAGTTGTAACTTGGAAGAAAGGCTGCATTCTCTCATAAGGTTCTTGAACCGCTGTGTTGGTCAGACCAAACCTTAGCGATCTTCTGTAAGGCATCAGGATAGTGGCAAAACCTGGTTTTAGTGTTATGTGTTCTACACTCCTCTGAAAATTGGGATCCTGGTATCGTGACCTGTGTTAGAGATGACCTTTCTGCATATTGTATGGTGGAGGGACTTTGTGTATCTATATAAAAAGTCAGTGGGTGGAACAGGACATACTATGAGCATAAAGATCCTGAAGGAAATTCAGGCTTTGGCTGTCACAGTGCAGGTTTGTATTTGCACTTGCATCTTATTTTGGCAGATCATTTAGGCTAAAGTTATATATATCTTACATTCTTTGAAGAGTATGTTACTGCAGAACAGGTAAAGCATTGTAAGCCTACATCTTGGATTCTGTAGTGGCAACTTAATTGTATAGCTGAGGCTGCAAAAATAAATGGAGAAAGTTTTCTTCATCCATATTTGATGACTGCTTAGGCACTGTGTCAATGAGAAAGATGTGAAATGATTATATGATTTCAAAACTTTGTGAGTCCATCTCTTGAAATAGTAATTGTATGGGCTACATGACAAATAAACTGCAGGAGAACTACATTACTGAAGCATCAGTGAACAGGCATTTTGGTGAGGTCAGGGACAGAATATCAAGATAATAGGCCATATGGGTCAAAGGCCAGAAAGATTAATGATTATTTTCATGAAGAAGTAACAGAGAACACACATTTCTTCTACAAAGCAGCAGGAAACTGGGGACTGGGAAAAGGTATTCAGAATTTCCTGGTATTTGAATGCTCGCTAGTAACAGTTATGCCATTAATTAATAATTAAGTCAGCAGTTAGGCAAGGCTTTTAGGGCAAACAATACAATACAACCTGTAGTTTGTTCAGAGGTAGCATAAGTATCTCTCTCAAACATTGCACTGTGTGTAGCAGACAGGCTTGTTAGTATTCCCATGTCAACAGGAGTTTGTCCACCAGGCTTCTCAGAAGAGGGAAAAGCAGTTTTTAAGTACATAACCAGGCTTTACATCTTCGCAGTCATCATATTCTGAAATGGGTTTTCTGAATTTCGTATGTAGAATACATGAAATAATACCTTCTTAAAGGATGAGGGAAAATTGAAGTGGGAAATGTATAGGTTTTTGAGAAATCACTGAAGCTGTATTTATACTGAAGCCAAGCTGAAGATTTGTTCTTTTGGTGAAATTGTAATACTTTTCTGGAAGGAGCAAGAAGATGCTACCAGAAATACTGTGCATGGAAATTAAATTTTGAGTGGTGTGGCCTACTACTCTGCATTGCTGTGATTGAGAAAAAGAGTGAATAGAGGAGGAAGGAAAGAAAATGGGAGAAAAGAACAGCAAATGAAAATAGCAGTGGAATGTCTGACCAAAAGAGAGTCTGAAAATGCATCCTGAATGCATTCCATTTACATTTTCAATTTTAGATACCAGATTTTCAGGGGCCTTAAAATATCGTAGATGCGTAAGTTTCACATCTACCAACTGGTTTCTGCAACTAAAAATTAAAAGTTCTGTTGGGATTGCCCAGAGCAGAACTTCACAGTTGCCCTGCGCCTGCATCTAAGCTTGAAACTCAGAATTGTGATGAAGGAGGAGTCATGTATTTAGTGTATGTAATTGATTATTTTCAAACAAGTACCTTTTTTATTCTGTTTATCTTTTGTGATTTAGTTAGTTTGAGTAGATTGAACTTTTTCCTTGAGGTTAAAAATTCTCTCCTTTTCTTGGATAACTAAAAGACAGTTTACTGATTTTACCGGACTTTAGGCAACAAATCTATTACCATCGCCTAAGCTTTTTTAGGCTTCAGGCTTTCAGCCTGAAGATGCTCCTCCTGACTTTTCCCTGAGCATTAGAAAATAAGTTGAAAACAGTTGAAAATAAGTACCTGGCTCGAATTAGTCGTTACTACACCTCTTTAATGCATGGTGGTGATACTTTCAGTGTATTATAAATCCCATTAAATTGTCCTTTGGCAGTGGCTTTTAGAGGGAAGAAAAGTGAAGGAAATCAACAGATCTAAGACTTATGTTAAAGAAGGAGCTTTGACTTACACTACACAGGCCATCAGGTCCTTTCCATCTGTCCCATCTTCTTTGATGAAACAAATAATACTTATTTGAGAGCCAAAGACATTCCCTCAGAGTGGAATTTCCAAATTTTCTTAAGGTTGACTGAATCTGGAAATAGCATTTGGGAATCTTTGGGTATGTCTGAACTATGAATTAACTACAGGTCCACACTGGCTTTCAGTTCTCCATTCTCTTGCATCTGTTCTGCTTACACACAGATTTACATCGCCTCAGCTTCCTAATGGTTTTGTGACCAAACCCAAACACAACCAGAGCTTGCACAGGAGGTGAAGCTGTGCTAGCTTGTTGCCGCTTGCCCAAGGGATAGATGGAGCAATGGCAGCGCTGGACGTGCTGCAGCCCAAACTCACTGGGTCAGAGGGTTCTGGCCCTTATCCACAGCTTGGTCTGAACTTCCCCGGTGGAGAAGGTGCTACAGTCAGCTGTTGGGATCAGCTTACCAGGAGTGTGAGAAAATACAGTGTCCCATGCTGCACTCACCTGTCTGTCTTGCATAGAAAAAATGATTCAAAAGCGCCTTGTGAAGACAAATCAACTTTTGATTTTCTGAACCATTTTCTGAGCTGTGTAAGTTCTGGAACAGGCTAGATTTTGATGTTAGGCCAAGTAAGAGGCCAGTTCTGCTCTCCACCAGTATCTGCTGCTTTGCTAACAGACAAGTCGTTAAAAGTCCGCTGCTTGTTTTGGTTTTGAGATAATTAACTTTGCTCTCTTTGAAAGAAGAAGGGGTTATATTATGCCAAAAAGAAGGTAAAACAATCTTAAAGAACTGTGAGTCACAGTGCGTGGTTTTAACTATTTAAGTGGATAATGGACCAGTATCTGACCCTAAAGTTCTAAATTTTCATGCAAATCACAATGCAGCTCTTTTATCAAAATTTAAATAGAAAATACGGTAATGTGGCTTGCTATTATTATGCTATACCACCTCTGGACACATACCATAACCTCATGGGCCACATTTTGGGAAGTCCTGACCTAAAATAATACCAGCTTTACACTTATCAGTGATGAAGTATTCTCACTTATGCACTAGATGGGGCTGCAGGATGGTTTCTGTGTTTTTCTTTCTTTTTTTCCCTTCTTTTTTTATGCACGATTAGATGACTAACATCTCACAATCAAGAAGTTGTATAAATAGCATTCTTATGGGCTTAATGTGTGTATAAGTGGTTTTTTTATAAATAGCATTTCATTATAGATTATATCTACATTTAATAAAGTAAAAATCAAAATACCAGAAGGTTTGTTTTCCCGAAAGGGAAAATCAGAAATTATTTCAAAACAGAAAATGAGTACAACACATACAGCTTATTTTAAAGAAAATGCCAATGACTAAATAAAAACTCTGTCCAGATCTTGAGATGGAGACCTAATGGGAAAATATTTTTCTGAAAGAACTGAATATTTGGTTTTTTTAACATCTAACATTATCATCCATCTCTCTTGATGTGAATTTAATGAGCTGTATATATGAAACAGACTTTTGGGAAAAACTAACAGGACAACTCAAAGTGACCAATAGAAAAATACTAAGTCTTCTTCCATATCTGAGTCTTCAACTGGGACATGCTTTGCTGCTGTGAGTTAAGGATTGTTGAACTGCCCATGTGTTCCTTTCATGTGGAGCGGTGCACGCTCCGGGGGCTCACATTGCCAGCCACCCTTAGCTTTCCCTATTGCAGAACTTCTTCCCAGTCTTTTAAATAACATAGCTGTTCCCTGCTTTGACGATTTTGTAAGATGTAGTTAAGCTGTCTGTAACTCGGTGGAGCTGCTGTTTGGTCTGTCCCTCTGCATCGTTCTCTTACGGGATCAGCCTGCATGCTCTGCTGCTTCAGCTTCCTGGGTTAGCTTCAGTGTCCAGTATGGAAAATAGATATCTTTCTCTGCAGGTTCTCACATGATGGAAAGAATGGATCACAAGTGGCATGAATTCTGTGGACGTTATAATCTTGCTTTATTAGTTGAGTGTGCATGTATCACCACTCTGCTGCTTGGTGGAAGGTGGTGGTGCTCTGGCACAGTCCAGGGGTGGGTCGGTTTGGAGGTGCAAAATTCTTCAGCTCCTGCTAGTGATGGTAACCTTTTTTGGCCTAGCAAGCATCCTCACAATTCATGGATCATCATGTTTTATGAAGCGTGTGTGCTGGGTGATCTGCCTTCTGTTTTGGAACAAAGGAGACAAAAAGCTATTGGATGTGGCAAATCGGTTGTGAAAAGCTGGAGTAGCCTTTAGCATTCCAGCTGACAAGTTTTGGGCTTGGTCTGATAGGCTATTATTGTTCTTCCAAACTAGATAATATGTTCATGAAATAACACATGTTAAAGCATAATAGTTTTATTTTAAGTTTTGTGACTTTTACTGATCTCTGCTTTTTATTGCTAAATGGACTGTTAGAAGCTAAAAGGCTGTGTGAAATCAGTAGGTAAAGATGGGCTGTATGACCTGGTTTTGCTGGAACAGGGATGGTTTTTTTCCTATGGCCACCATGGTTACAGAAGTTTCTTATAGGCTCATGTGTAATGACTGGGCTTTTCTTTTCAAGCAAATCAAAATGTTGTGGGTTTTTTATAGTGCTATTTTGCAGTGCTGTGGTGTGTAGCACTTTTTGCTACGTGTTCCGTGTTTAGTCCCATTGCTGTAATGTCAGAGCATCTTCCAATAATGCATCTTGACATGCATGCAAACATGACTACATTGCGACATACCTTGGTCACTTGCTTCTTCTTGAATCTTCAAAGCAAGAAGTATGTACAGTGGCATTTACTTATCAGATTTTTATAAAAATGTATGTTCAAACTATGCTTGAAAAAAGCAAAACAGAATAGAATAAGTGCATTTAGAAGGTTTGTCCTGATAAGTGTTTTTACATGTCTATGTCATTATTTTAAGTATATTACTGGTAATACCTAGTGACTCATGAGCATGGATCCTGTTTCCAAATTTAACTCAGGATACTTTTGAAAATAATTTGTGGACTTTACTCCAAAACATTTCAGGAAGTAAGAGGATATGTCCTTCCAGTACAGATGGATTCCTCATCCATGTAAAATTCTTCCATGTAAAACTCCAACTTGAGAGGGATAGAAAAGAGAAGTGTTGCCCTTCTCTTCACAGTTACTGTAAAGAGAAAGGAAGAGGACAGAGGGAGCGTGAAGCAGTCACCTCTTCCCTGATTTGTTTGGGGCAGAGCATTTCTAGAAGTCAGATGCTGTCATGGTTCAGCATGACAGCCATTGACTAACTCCTCCTGGCAGTTGCGATGAGGGACAGAATCGGAAAAAAGGAGCACAAATGCCGAGTTTTAACAGTACAAAATTATCACAAAAGTCTTTTTGCTTCCTTTTATTAAAGGCAACTTCAGTGATTTAGAGAGTACCTAGTGTGATACTATAAATACTAAATACATACAGTACAGCTTTATATATTGTGGTAGAACAAAAGATGGTATTCTTGAAGTAAGCTGGATCCTTTTCAGAGCCATTACAGAGTCTATCAAAGGTAGGTTTTATGTGCTAGAAATTTATCTGTTTGACATCATTACAAAGAAATACTAGCAGACCTGTTTCACACATAACAATCAGGGAGAGCAGACTCACTGTTGAGACATTTTGCAGTAGTAATTCTTGGGGTGAGGGGAAAGGGAGAGAATACATGTTATTCTCCAGCCTAAAGGTCGAGACATTGACTTCAGAAAGGGATTAAATAGAAACTGGATTACAATGAGTGTTTCAGTATTTTATGCAATGGTTATTGTATATGAAGTACATGTCTTCGTGCATGGATGCTCTCTGCTTGTCGCCTTTTCTCATTAAATATACTTAAGGAGTGTTTAGGAAGCAAGCATTCCTTCAGCAGGAGGAAGAGATTGTGTTTCTATCTAGACTACCACTTGGCTACTTAAGTTTGGTTTCTTGATCCCTCCTTGGGGAATGAAGGCCTTAGGTACTTCAGCTTACCCAGGCTGCAGTTCGTTGGTCTTTGTGGGTCCTTGGAGTGAGTAAGGCACTGGGCTCATGGCCACTGGAGAGATGGAAACGCTGATGGGATTCTCCAGAAGTGAGAGTGCGCATAACTGGGAATATTTAATGTCAGCTACTGAAGTGCCTTTAGGGTTAGGAAATAGTGGGAGAGCACGCTAGTGCACTGTAATATTGGATTTATCTAACTAAAGGAGAAATTAGGTGGGACAGGCTTCTAAGAGAAGTGAGGTCTCTAAGGACACATCTACATGGGAATTACATGGTTATACTTGACTTCGCAGCTAAATGGAGGCAAACAGTATGCGTGCACTGTGTAGTACAGTGCCATGCAGGTAATGCTAGCATTTTGTGTCAGCATGATGTTCCTTAGTCACCCTGACTACGTAACTGCTATCTTCTTCTTTAAAAAGCACTGTTAATTGTTCAGCCAACTCAAAAACAATCATAAAGTATCGATGCAGACATAGTGATGGTGCATGTTTCACAGCAGCGTCTGATGGCTTTTTACTTTCCCTGTAATCAGTCTTGCTTTTTGCCTTTCCTAATAATATTCAGTAATAATATAATAATTACAGTATATACATTACATATTACATACACTATATGTTATATTGTACACAACATGTTATATTATGAAATAATATAACAATTTGTAATAAAATTTTATAGTTATATTTAGAATTGGATGTCCAAACAGTTCTTCTCTCATCTGCATCTATATCAATTACATTTTCACAGTGTGTGTGATTTTTTTTTTTTTTTTTGTATTGCTAACAGAACTTGATAGCCAGCACTTGGTGTCTCTTTCTACTAAGCACAATGCAGCTGAACCAGTGAGCCCAGTGAGAGCGATCTTTCCTGGCTTCAAACAGATGCCAGCACGTCAAGTGTAGCTCACCCTGCCTCTGTTAGTCTTTTGTGGTTCTTGTGGCGTGCCACAGGCAACAGCACTAGTGCAGAAGTTGATGCACATGACAGAAAGTATCAAGGAAGTTGTTAGTCCCTTGAGTAGGAGAGTTTAATCAACTTTTTAGAGAAATTTGCCATCATGGATCACTGATTAGTTCTTGATTTTTTTCAAGAAGTTTTGGGCCTAAAATGCTTTTTTATTCTTTTTTGCTGACAGTTTTTCTCAGATGTACTTTGCTTATGTGCTGCTGGGTTATAATAACATGCTTATAGCTCAATTCAAACCACTCACAATCTGGTTTTGAATTTTTACTTGTTATTGACAGTGTATTGCAGTTATGCATGATTTTCTAATCTGCCTCCAGGTGCAACTTGGATCATTAATCAAGGTCTTTAAGCTTTTGGTTTAAAGTTTCACTCCTGGCATTGCAAAAAGCCATCTGTCTTTCATGGATTACTGTGTTCTTGCAACTAGTTTCTACCAAGAGTCTCTACATGTGAATTTTTCAGGTCCAGCATTATAGCCAGTCAATGGAGATCTACCATTGACTTAAAGGATGTGATTTTTTGATCTTCCAGTGAAATTGTAAATAAAGCCTTATGCTACTTTAGGTTGTAACAAGTCTGTGTGAAGTCATAGAATCATCATGGAATCATAGAATCGTTGGGTTGGAGGGACCTTTAAAGGCCATCTAGTCCAACCCCCCTGCAATGAGCAGGGACATCTGCAACTAGATCAGGTTGCTCAGATCCCCATCCGACCTCACCTGGGATGTTTCCAGGGATGGGGCATCTACCACCTCTCTGGGCAACCTGTGCCAGGGTTTCACCACCCTCACTGTGAAAAACTTCTTCCTTATATCCAGTCTAAACCTACCCTCTTTTAGTTTAAAACCATTACCCCTTGTCCTGTCACTACAGGCCCTGCTAAAAAGTCTGTCCCCATCTTTCTTAAAAATCCCCTTGAAATACTGAATGGCTGAATGAAATGCATTCATATCTTCAGGTTATGTTTGCAGTTTAAGTGTAAGTTGAAGATGTCATAGGTTATTTGGAATTTGTTAAATCTTTTTTGTATGTCTTGTTTTCTAAACATAATAAATAGGCTCTCTGAAGAACTGCATTATAAATTCCCTTTTTTCTCCCCCTCCTCCAGGTGTGAGGCAGCTAGCCCACATATTCATCCTGTTGGATGGTGTAAAGAACATAAAAGAACTCTCATCACCCCACCAGGTTGGTATGTTATTGCTCTGAAAGATTTAAGGAGGTTATAGTCAGCTAGCAGCATTAAAGCTTACAATAAGCTTATTGTTACCTTTCCTGAATTATTCTTTCTGTAATTAAGAATAGGTATTTGGGGAGTTATGAATTTTTTTAGAGGACATAATGTATTAAAAGTAGAAGTACAATAGACATTACGTGTTAAGTATGCACATGTATGCTGCTTTTAGATGTCTGTCCTTGAAGGATACCCCTTGGAATCTGAACAAATTTGTATTTTTGGCTTAATGTATTCACTTATTCTAAGACTTACATTGTGAACATGCTGATAAAACAAATTCCAGGTGTGTGAAATTGTTGTATAAGAAAAACATCTTCATGTGAACTAAATATGCAAGATAATGGGTTGATGAGAAGATTGCCTTACGTGATCAAAGAATCAAACTTATAAGGCTCTTTGGAAGGGATGAAGACACAAGAGAGATGATAGAGAAGAATGAAAGTGTATTCATTAGTACGAAACATAAGATGACCACTGTTTTTCAGGACTGTTGTGTATAGCTGGATGATCTAAATGCTCTGTTGCAGAAACTGCTATCTGTGGTCTGAGAACATGGAAAATGTTAATTGGTTAAAACCAACTTTGACAGAAATTCTAATAGCCAGCAATCTTGAAAAGTCATAAGCAATCTGTCTGTCAGGAGGTTAATTACAGCCTATTATTCAGTGAAATCCCTTTTAAAACAAATCAGAATTCTGTTCTAGATTATGAATCATAATGTTTAAACTTCCAAGTTAAACTTCTAGTGCTGATTAAAGGTGGACAGGCACTGCCTTTTCTTTAAAAGCAAAGCTGTCTTTGTATTTCTTGCATAAAGCATTTGTAAACATGACACTTTCAGAGAAAGGCAACATCTTCCTTGATGATGTCTGTAAATAATTCTTACAGTAAATGTCCAGACTATTTTTTTAGAACAAATATAAAACAAATTCACTAAAAGAATAGCAAGTAGTCTGGTGTGCTCTACTGTGGTACAAAGCTATCACTGGTTAGATTGTGTTTGGCAGCAGATTACTGTTTGTAAAATACAGGATTACGCATGTAATACTTGAATGAATTTCTTGAATTTAAGTGGACAGATTTTTCCAGTCCACATTATTTATATTCTCATATCCAAAGCAATTGTGACTACTTCTGCTAGCTACTCAGTATTGTGTATGAGAAAATTGTTGGGTTTTTTTAACCTACATGGTGCATGTGTCAGAGACAATTTAGAATAGCCTTTCTTGTAATTATTTTCTAAATCTGAAGCATAAATCAGAACAATATTATAAAAGTGTGAGGCATTCTGTAAATTAGCCATCAGTTTTGGGTTTTGCACTGCAATGTTTAATTTTTCTCATGTTTCTGCTGTGCTAGATTATCCACATGCTAAGCATTTTTCTTGGGAGAGGTATTTGGAAGAAACCAGTTCATTACCTGCACCTGCAAGGGCTTTTAAAGTGGTGAGAAAATGCTTTTTTTTTTTCATGCTTTTAAGTGCATATAATTAGTGAGTTAAAGAGGAGAATACATATATGGTGTTCCTGTGTTTCCAACTGTATCCAGTTAATTAGTTGCATAATGGGTGGTTTATTTTTATGCAAGTTTGCAGTTCACTGTTAGAAATCAGATTATTATTATAGATCACTATTACTTTATTATTTTAATCATTATAAATGGGACTAAATGCTACAAAATATTACTAATGAACATAATTTGCTACGGAAAATTACTGCCTAGTTATTGGAAATAATGAGATAGCTACTGAGTCATCATAATATATTTTGAACATATGTATTTCTATCCATACATTTTAAATGGTGCACTGAATACAGTGAGAACGTAAAAATGATTGTAGGAGGTCATTCTGGTTGCCCATCTAGTCCATTGTCTCTGGCAGTAGCCAAGAGAGAGTTTGTATTTAATAGTCCTCAGTAGACTTTCTTCTGTGAGCTTGTGACTAGAGCACATGGGCAGCATCCAGAGGCAGTTCCCCAGTTGAACTATGGTGTTTGTGGGCCACATCCTTTTCTTTTAGCTTTGTACTTGCTAGTTTCTTTCAGTGGCACCCGTCTTTCATGAGCTCTTAGGATTTCAGTAGGGAAGGTGGACTGGTCAGAAATGCAGAAAGGTTATTGCTGTTAGGAGCCAGCGTCAGGTGGCTGGGACCTCCCAGCCCCTTGGCCTCACAGCGTGCTGAAGCTGGTTTGCCTCAGTTTTTCAGAGTCACTGATTCTGAGTAACACTTTGCTAAGAGCTGGATTAACAAAAGCAAAAATGTGGTGCTTACAGCAGTTCCTGGGCTCAGCAGAGCACCAGACTTTATTACTGACCTGCAGTTTAACGCTCCAAAATGCGTTATAATGTTCTGGCTTAATAATGTGTCTCAATCTTACGTTCTCGGAGACAATACTGGGAGCAAGGGTCAGGAAAGTATTTGGTTATATCTGAGAGGTATAGTCCTTGGCAGAACAGTACAGGGCTGTGACCTTGAGTACATCAAGCTAAAAGCAAATGTTTTCTTTTTCTCTCAGAGCATCCATGTTTGATTTCTGCCCCTGGGGTTCTGAGCTGAGCAGGGCACACTACAAGTGTGCAGGCATTGACAGCATTAAATGGGGAGAGCGTTGGCTGGCCTGGTTCAACGCTGTTCCAGAAACCATACTACCAGAGATCAGCTGGGTGTAGGTCCCAAAAGGTGGCTTAGATAAGGCCATCTGGCTTTGAGGATGGAGAGGAAGGAGAGCTTGACTGCATGGGGTTCAGCTGTGCACTGTCTTTTGGTTTCACAGCCAGAGAAAATCACCTCCCTGCTTTCTGTACTAATACAATGGTAACCATATTAACGCTAATTGTGATAAACAGTAAGAAAGCAGATTTAGTGGGAATAAAATGCTGATTATGTTGGATTTTGGGTGAAGCCTTCCTGAGACAGTCACAGTATTTTATATTGTATTATGGGAGAAAATTGAGTTCTTAAGCTGCGTCTGAGGGAAAAGCACTGATGTTTTGGAAAGTCTTAGGAGGACAGATAGGTTATTTTCCTAGAAATCTAGAATTGAAAAAAAATAACATCTCTTCTGCATATGTTCCTTTAAAATGGAAATAACTTTTGCTTTAGATTTCATAGCTGTAGATGGCAAAGATAAAATCTGATACTCATAACAGAGACACCTTTTTTGCCAAAATAATACTACGAAACAGGTATGTGGTCCTGTTTGTTCTAAATGAGTATTTACTCTTATACTGTGGATTAGTTATGCTTTCAGTAGGAGACTGAAAAAAAGAGTTTGAGTCACAAAGTGAAAACACATACTAAAAAACACAAATGTGTTTCCTGTAGACAATTTCATAGACATTTCTGCTGGTTTGTGATATGTCATTCAGTACTGGATTGAAACTGTTGGCCAAAATCTCTGGGAAAACTTCTCTAGAGAATTGAGGGGAAAAAACCAACTAATTTAAAATATACATCCCTACTTACTTGCTTGAATGGCTTGAAACCAGTCCATTCCAGGAGAACCTGGAGTCCCAAAGTAGTTACTTTATTTCTCTACTTTGATAACACTGGTTTGAATTATGTTTTTATGCTTGGATGGGGGGGAGGGGAGGCTTAATTTTTGAGAAAATTAAGGCAGAAAGTTATTGTATGGATTTCATATACTTTACAATTTTATGAGATTTTTGAGGTTTTCTTCTCTTTCACATAATACTGTTCTTTTTTTCTAGAAACCTTCTCATGGCTTTCAGAAAAACATGAAACTTGAAGTGGTTGACAAGAGAAATCCAGTATTTATCAGAGTAGCAACTATTGTAGATACTGATGATTATAGAATAAAAGTAAGTTTCTCTGTCTTGCTGTACTATCTTGCTTGAGTGACTGATACGTACTTTGTAAAACCAAAATCCTCTAGTTGTAAAATTAAGGACATGAGGAAATGAGTCATATTGCTGAGTCCTGCTAACCTTTTGCTTATTCTTTTCACTGATTAATATGCGTATAATTCCTTTGGAAGGGGTTGTTGTATTATCCTCTTTGTTGTATTTGCTGACATAGGTAATTAGAGAGCAGAGTTGAATATGTTGGGAAATGACTTTGGGAATAGTTGATGTGAGACAGCTGTCTACTCTATCAAGAAATGTGATGATTTAATACCAAGTATCAAAAGGTTGCTATAATATTTGTATTAGGGCCCATAAAATATTTGGCCTGGGTTAATTGAATCTGTCTCTATAAAATGCCAGGGAGAGGAGCGAGATGTGAGATAGGAAAAAATAACCCTGATCTCTTGTTCCTTGTCAGTGCCTTCTTCAATTCTGAAGTTTATATTAATTATGGACTTTAGATTTGATTAATCTCAGATAATGTCTTTTCCAGAAAATGCATTTTTCCAGAAGTTGTATACTTGAATAATTTTTCTTTTATTGTACAGAACCAGTTTACGCTCCGAAGCCCTTAATTGTTAGAAGGGCTAGCATATTCCAGATATCCACTTAGATGGATATGAAGGGTACTTGTGTTTGCAGTCTGTACAGATTTATTAGGCATACCTGGTATTTCTCAGGAATGTAGCTGACATTTCATTTTGAATCTGAATTAACTGGTGGTAGGGAGTCATCAGAACTAGTATCTTCACACCTACACATTTTCTATCTAAACTTTTAAGTTGGTCATGAAAAAAAACCACCCCAAAACAAACAAAACCCACCCTTCTCCAGTCTTAATTTATTAAAATGACAGGATTTGTAACTTCTGGGGTGGTAATTTGACTCTAGCATATGTTGAAAGAGCTCTGTTCATATGTATCTGTGAGTACGTGCATAAGAGATGTGAGCTATTTACTAGTACAGAGGTCAAGTGAGATTTGGAGATACTTGGTTTTCACCTGAAAAAACTGCATGTGTAGCCCATACTGGTGCTTTTCTGGGCAGTAACATTCTCTTCAGTTTCAACTCCTTATCCTGTACAGTCTGATTTTAGTAAAATTGTTACTTGTATGTTGGGGGGATTTGTTTGGAGGTTTTTATGGATAAATGCAATTTTTTTAGTCCTTTGCTTACTGCTCTGTTATTCTTAAATCCTGTTCTAACAGGAGATTAAAAAATGTTTGAATTTGGGGGGTTTTTGAGAGAGAAAAAAAAGGTAGAATTTAAGTATTAACGTGAGAACTAAACTTGTCCTGCTTTATTCCTGGGATTTGAGCCTGATGATACAAGACATAGTAAACAACCAAATGACACCTCTCTCTTTACTTCAGTGAGAGTATGACTGGGTCCAGAATCCAATGTACATGTATTTTCCATGTAAGTTTTCTTAAAGTGCCTTCTGTAATGGACATGTCATTTTTAGAGATTACTTAGGGAAACTGGTTTTATAGAGAAATTTTCTGATCTAAAGTGTATTGTTCTCCTTTTTGATTTTAGGTCCATTTTGATGGCTGGGATAGTATTTATGATTATTGGACTGATGTAGATAGCGCTGATATCCATCCTGCAGGCTGGTGTACAAAAACTGGACACCCTCTTCAGCCCCCACTTAGTAAGAGAAAACACATTGTAATGTAATGATGTTAAAAGGCATGTGTACTGTGCTATCTTCTTCCCTGCCAGTGCCATCCAAGGAAAAGTAGCAACTAGGATATGCAAAATAATGTAAATGTGACATTTGGTGCAATATCAACAGTCAGTAATTAATCACTTTTTAGTAGATAGCTTTATGGACCCTTACTGTGATGGAAATAAAATGTTTCTCCGTATGCATAAGAACCACAGTCAAAACTTGAAGTAATGATAAAGGTCTGTTGTGTAAAATCCTGGCCCTCTCAAAGCCAATGATGAAACTTCTGTGGCACCCAGTAGGGATAGGGTATCACTCTTAAAATCTTCTATCCTCATCCTCTTGAAGGTTACTGCGCTTTATAGCTCAAAGGAGTCCAGACTGCACTGAGAAGGCACTCCTTTCAAATGCTGTGGCAAATCCTCAAAACCAGCTAATTTCCTTTTCTTCTTCAGCTGAGCAAAGAGGGGTTAATGTGCCCACATTGAAGATAAAGCATGGTACCAATAACAAAACTGTATTCACTGGCTTTCACTCTCTGGGGATTTTGTTTTACTTGTTGAAGTGGGAGGTCTGTCATAAATGAGACTGAAGGTTGCAGGGAGAAGAGACTTTTGTGGTAAAGATAACCCTGCCTATGCAATTGTGTTTCTGGATAATGGTAGTGAAATGACCTTAGCCAAACTTCAAACAGATGATTTTTAATTGACTGCTCTTGTCTGAGATTGTTTTATATTGTGACTCTGAGGTATGGTTTGCACAAGTGCTGACTGTTCACAGCTGTAACTGAGATGAAAAAGAGCTGTGCTTGGAAAATAAAAAATGCTGAGCAATGCCAAATACTCTGAAAAAATTAAATGTAAAATAACTAGGATAAGGCGCACACAGATTGTGTGAATGTGTTACCTGAAAATCTCAGTACCTCAATTCAGCACCTCTAAAATGTCAAGAAGAAGTGTTTTCTATCCAGAGCATGATCAGGGTATATTCGTTAGTTTTCTGAGCACTGCAGTGGCATAGTGATGACTGCCTGTTAGGAAGTTAATCATTCTGCCTTCAAAGCAGAGTCTGAAGAGAGTGCTGTAAGTGCCAAAGCACAAAGTGAATGATGAGAAGAGAGGATGCTGCATATCTGCTTCTTAATCTGACATGTGTGTCCTGTGTGCTGAATGAAGGAACAGTCTGGTGGGAAAAAGTAGTCTGTGGCCACATAAATAAAACTATATCATATGGCAAAAGAGCTGAATAAGGTTGCGACATTTCTATTGCCTAAGATTTAGGGAAAAAAAAAAATCACAGCCTAGGTAGGAGTATAAAATACATAAGTTCATTTTGTTGGAGACCTTAAAAGAAACAAAATACAGATGCCCGTCACATACAACACGTCATCTGCTCTAGGTGGTGGTGTAGGAGGCACTGTTCATCTCTTTTAGGATGTGACTGGTGGAAGTGACTTTTTGATACTAGTTAAGCTACAAAAACAAAGATTGGCAATGTGGCAAGAGGGAAGGCGACTGTCTATTAAATAGAAAAAGAATAGTTAACTGTACAAATACTATTAAAATCTGATGATTACTGAATAATATATTCTTCTAACAATATGACTTTGTATTACCATAGAATATGGTATAGAATATAGAATATTATGAAAATATTAATATTGTTTCCAAGTAAGTTAAAGTGCATTTCAAGCTTTGTGAAAGTGTTTCAGAAGGAGGGAAGAAAATACTTTGCAAGAGACAATATTTTTTCCTCAGTCAGTAAGATAGTCCTTTTAATGATGTGGTCCAGATCCTTGACTTTAACACTAGCAGCTTTGTGTGGACGCTGCACTATGTTAGCAATATTAGTCTAGAGCAATCATCATTATGGTTTTATGCTCCCCGTATTTACATATTCATAGTGTTTTCTCTTAAGATGTAGTGAAGTCATCATGATGGATTATGACCTTTTTGATAGCAATTAGGGAATTAAGAGCCATGTATTGGTGTCGATTTTAATACCGTTTCACAGTGACGCAAGCAGCAGCTTCTTGCTTAAATCTGGACAGCCAGCTGCAGCTCTTTTAAATTGCATTTTTAGAGAGTTTGAAGTTTTTAAGTGAAGAGAGAACGTTTGTAGGGAGCTAATTTTTGCAAAACCAGAGCATCAGTGAGGCAGGACTTCCCTTTATAAAAGCATCCCTATTATGTTAACTCTTCCTCTGAGTCCACTAACTTGTTACGTTATAGGCATCAATTTTGCATAAAAGTAGAAAAGAGAAAATTCTCTGTTCTCTCATCCATTATACCATTTTAAAACCTACAGAAGTCTTTGGACTTCAGTGTAGTCATAGTGTTGTAACATTAACATAGTTCGGACATTTGTTTAAAAATGCTTTTGGACTGTCCTAATTGTAATAATTCTAGGAAAATTTATTTAAATAGACCTTTTTGTGTCAGTATTGTTATCTGTAGGGGGAGATAGAAGTTCATATACTTTTCAAGTAAAACCAGTACTAGAGAGACAGTGCATGTTTGCAGATGTGCAGCGGGTATTTTCAGCTCCATATACTGGAGTCTCTCTCTCACTTGCTATGAAACTATGGTTTATATACTATGTTTGCTTGAGTGTCAAAGCTAGTTTTGACAGCTACATGCTTTAATGTATCTGCAGGCGTCATTGTTACAGGTTGATGAACATAGGCACATAAATTCAGATAAGTAAAAATGACAAAAATCTCTGGTGCTTTTTGGTAGTGTTTTCAGCCTTTGTTTTCATGTCTTGTTCACTGGAAAACTTGAGCTAAAAATGGAGAAGGTCAGTACCCATTATGAACAGACCCCTGTCTTCAGGAACAGCAGGGTAACTTACTTTATCTGTGCTCTTGCAAAACAACCAGGCTCAAACTACATGCAGTTAATACGAGATAAATTTGAAGTCATACAGTTCCTCCAAGATTTGCATTCTTTATATAGATGTAACTTTCCTGTAGAGATTTACTCACACAGAATAAAATTATTTCTCCAGTGGGTTAGGTCGTTTGAATCTCCATCCTGCTTTTGCAGAATGCATTTTTAAAGTACTTTTTAAAATTTATTCACTTATTTCTTCTTTGTGTTTAGTATGATACTCTGGCATTTCTGCGTATTTATATAACTTTAAAAGATTAGATACTTTTTTTTTTTAATCTCATATGTAATTTCCCCTGACGTGCAGGTCCCTTGGAACTGGTGGAAGCTTTAGAGCATGGAGGGTGTCCCACAGCAGGGTGTAAAGGAGTTGGGCACATTAAAAGAGCAAGACATATCGTCCATCATAGGTATGTGCTATATAACTGTAATTTTATTCTTTCAATTGAGTGATGTAGGCACATGATTTTTTTAATTGTTGTTCACAAGAAAACAAGTCCAAGCTGCAAAAAATTAGGAAATCTTGTAAACCTGAATTTGCAGTGATTTCAGTTGCCATGGTGAGCATGCTGAAATAAACATTAGCAATCTGTAACTTCATTTCACCAGGGTGTGCCGAGATAAGATTTGTCAAACATAATTTTTTGTCACAATTGATAGATTCAGTTACTCTATATTTTGTTCCTATGAGGCTTCCTTGGCTTGCTGTTCAGATTGCAAAATGTTATAGACAGATATGTATAAAGCAATAACTTTTGAACCTTTTGAAATATGAGGTCACTAATGTTATTATGGCTTGGATGTTTTTGTTCTGCATGGTTGGTAGGGGTGAGGATTTGCTTATTGGCATGGAAAAATGCTAAAAAGGAAATTCCCATCGATGTATTCCCAAATGACAGCCTGAACAACTTTCTGTTTGTACCTAGTATTTTTAAAGATGTTTTTGTTGAACACCTTCTGAAATATAAAACAGAAATGTGGACAGCCCAAGTTGTCCTTGAGGAGACTTGACATAGGGAGAGCAGCAGCATGGGAGAATGGAATGGGGGACAGAGAGACAATGACAGCGTAAATGGGAAACATTTACTAGGTCAAAATGTTATTATTTTTAAAATATTTACAGTATGAGGTAAACCCTGAATATTTCCGGAAGGGATATACAGTTAATATAACATGCTAAGTTGAGAATTAAGTATCATAAATATCATCCTATTACCTTTTTTCAAATCAGAGCTTCCAGAAGTTTTCTTGGAATTTTTCCATTACAGAGTTGTACAGTCCTCGAATGTCGTATCACTTCATGCTTTCTGCTCTGGTATGGTTAGAGGATTGCTCTTTGGTTATTTGTTTATTCATGTTTTTTAAGTATGTTGTTAAACTACCATGATCCACGAACTGTCTCTGCAGTCTTTTCATGGTTTTGGTAAGAGGATTATATCCCATTGACTAGAATTATGCTACAGGGTTTTGATGGCATATCAGCACTGGTTGAAGTCCTGACTCATCCCTAACAAAGATACCTGCCAGCAAAACTACTGTGTTGTTACATGTTTAGTGTGCAAAAGGCATCTTCTGCTGCGAGAAATTCTTTCCTACCTGCATTGTGTTTGTGGTGTTAGGAGGCAGAAGAACTTGTGATGCTAGTACAGGCTTTATCTCCAGGAAGGGACATGGCTAGGTTAGCTGCAGTGACAAAACCTGTGGCAGTATGAACTGTGGTGGTGTTGTCATGACACAGTATGCGGCATTGATGTCTTTCAGATTATTCTCACCCTTTTCCTTTTGTCATTTTCTGTGCATGTTCTTTTTCTCTGGTTTAATTTTTTGTTTTTCTATCTTCCCTTATGAGAAGCTTTGTTGCACTCAATCAGTAGGATGACTCCTTAAATAGTCAAGCCAGTACTTAAGAGGTTACCATCCTTCAGTTAGCATATGGTAACCTACTGCATTCGTGTTCTTAGTCCACTGTTAATGTGACATAAACTAGACTTGCATAAAAAGCTTTGTGACTGCTTAGCTGAAACCCATTTTATTTCATATTCCAGTATTCGGAGTCTTATGTGATTTATTAATGCATTAATTAGTTTATTAATTACCTGTGAGGCAATAAATTCCAATTCCTTTCCATGTTCTATCTCAGTTACTTAGAATCAGGTGAACATACCCATTCTTAGCCCAGGGCTGAAACTTGAAACAAAACCAAACCCCTATAAGTGAATGTGTCAGAAAAGGTTTTAATTTATGATCTCTCTAAATAAACGTCAGCACTAAAACTTACAACGTTTCACGGGGAAGGAATGAGCTATATGTCTAGGTAGTTCATGTAACCTTTGCTTTTATAACTAGATTTTCCATGGTATTTAAAGTTGTTATACTTACTCATCTGAATATGAAGAAAAGAAATAAACTCATGGCAATCTATTGTATTCTATTTTTACTGCGATCTTATCAATCCTCTTATTTGCACATTAACTGATAATTCTAAGGGATAAAAATATAACCAGAGAGATTTTGTTGATCATAAGACAGGCATTTGCTGTTTCATAGCACATAAATTAACACCATTGAATATCTTATTCACTAACTATATTGGTTTGCCCTCTGTGCTGATACTACATTTTTTTTCTTGAGCATTTCTGAGGAAAATGATGAGATTTATTATTTACCTGGAGTCTACAGACTTCAGGGTCCAGGTCACCCCAAAAATTCTAACATTGTACCATCACATTTTTCCTGAATTAACAAAGTCATTTTGAAATTAATATAATTATCCACGTCAGGTAGAAGTCCCTTGGCTCTTTTATCTTGTCAACCTTGAAATGTATTTAACCATGCTTATCTTTTTTTTTCATGATGAGGTGCAATGTCTGTCTACAGCATAAATGCCTGTGTGCAGAAAAGATGATAATTTAAAATGCTAAGTAGTTCTGAAATAATTTTGAGAGCTTGTTCATGGGAACCAGATGAAAGCCTCGGTGATTAATTATGTAGTTGAGTTAAAGCATTTACTTTTTGGAAAATGTAATGATAATAAGGACTTGGTATCTATCACCAGCTGATCTAGGGTTTTGTGCTGCGCACTTGAAACTGAGACTGATGTGCAGGTTTGGTAGCATTATGCAGATTACTTGCATGTTTATGATGAATTGTATGCCCTCTGATGTTTAGTGCATGCAATAATTTTCAAGTTCAAGCAGTAATGCGAAGTGGTCAGTTGTAAACAGGTCATTAGTGTTTTGGGTCAGCTCTCCATGAATAAAGATTTTTACCAGAAACTTTTACATGCGTTACATGTAAGTTGAACTGAATGTGCGGTGGTAGAGGGTGTGTTCTAAGAGAACTGCAGCACAGAAACACAGGAAACTTCAGCTCAGCAGGATGTCACATCTATTCGTTCAGTGTCTTTTGAAGTAATTCTCATCTGATTTTGGTGCCAGTCTCAAGTTTCATTTTATCTTTTTTGTAAGGTCATTGGCCCCAGGCAAATCCGTTACAAGCTACTCTTAAGTCAGGTTTAGACAGTTAAAGCAGCTTTCTCATAAAAAAGAATGCTTTGATGATAAACACGTGTTGTAAATTGTGAAAGAGAACATTTGTATCACTTCTTTCCAGACTAATTTTCAAAATGTTTTCATAAAGTCAACTGAAGTAAAGACATCACTTAACAAAAATCCAGCCAAAAAAAAAAAGAATATATCCCCCAGATGTTGTCAGGACCTTTTCGCTGGAGGTTTCTTGCTAATCATGTATCACTACCAGCAGATTGTGGTCATCTGGACATAGGCTGCTTTAGATAAACCCTAACCCATCAGTTAGTCTGATCTATTTGTTTAACCCATCAAGGAGGATAATTTGAGCAAATCCGGGTGAATTTGCCTGGAGCTGCCATGCAGACTCATCCCTTGGCAGTGCTTGGCAATAACCTGCACCTGAAAGGCAATGAGGAGCTGGGGTTGGTCACATTTCCAACCAGTACAGCTAAACCAGGAGACTGTCCGTGGCTTCACACAGGTTTGCAAAATATTCCAAGCAGTCATAAAGACTAGTAATCTATATAAAAAAATACTTCAGTATTAATGTTCTTTTACCAAACATAATGCAGCACTGGAGAGTGTACAGGCCTGTCAGATGTACAGTAGAGGCTTCAAACTGGGTACCTGCTGCTGCTTCTGCTTCTTGCCATGTTCCCTCTGCCTCTGGCAGACCTTGGTACCCCCAAGTCAAGGACAACTGATCATTTTGGAAACTGGCTTCTGAACTTACCGTGTGCTAAGACAAACTGCAAGCTGGAGTAGAAATCCAGGTTTAAGTTGACAGTACAGTTAAAAATCCTAACTTAATATGAAATAACTTAAACATCAAGACTTCTAAGCCCTTGAGATGAGTTGTCTCTAAAACTTACATTCCTGTATAAAGCAAATACTTCTATTATGTAGGAATAACAAGTTTAATTTTTTATTCTTTGTAGTAGACAGTTAAACTGAACTGAAGGCTGGAGGCATTGAGATTCAGGAGGACTTGCTGATTGATCTTAAGCCATGTAACTCACACACAGGCTCGTTCATGCTGTGTTTTGTTGAAACAAAGCTACCAGGGGAAACTTTGAGGGTTCTTTTCGTTGCCCCAAGCAATAGTAACATCAAAGGACTATCAAGGAGTTTTTAAAAAATGATAGAGCAACTCAGATAATTAATTACAAAGAAAAACTCATCTGAATCTAGTGTTCTAAAGCATTGTTAATACTATAACCATTGTTACCTGAAATTGTCATTCAACTTCTATTTTTCTAGAAAATACCAAAGGAAAATGAAGTATATAAACAGGCAAGTTCTAATGAAGGACTGAATTTTCTTGGTTTTTAATTTAAAACATATTAATGATTTTGGTAAATGAAATTGTATTGTCAGATTTAATTGTGGTGTAAGACTTGTTTAATAATACATGACTGAAGTTAAATACCACATTGGTAGTGTTTAGCGTTTCCTTGAGACAACCCTCTAACTGCTTAAAAACACTAAGCCTCAAAATGCCTCTTTGAGCATACGAAACCAAAAGAAGATTGCACGCTTTGCCTTACAGCAATGGCAGAACTGAGATTAACCAATATATTCTTGAGTTTCTGATAACTGTATTTCATCACAGTGGTATGAGTTTGTCACAGCAAGAACTTAAATCCTACTAGCACTGGCTTCTTAAAAGCTTTTTCTGAATAGAAGCATGTATCTTTCATCTTGTAGTTCATTTGAAAGTGAAAAAAGACTTCATTGTGATAGATGGAGCAGTACAAAGAATCGAGAATATAAAACAACTTCCTGTCTTTCCTAGTTTTCCTCTTTTCTTCCCCATCTTTCAGTTCATGTTTTTTTGTTCTTTCAAGACATGTGGCAGAGGCTAGTCCTAAGGCAGACAAAACCAGTAGGTTGAAAAATAAATGTAAGTAGAGGTATATAAATAAATCTAAAATAAAATGCCAAATTCTGCTTCAGAGAAAGTAGAAATAAAAGTTAAATGCTCCCAAGTTAAATTTTTCTTCGTATGTTCTGTTCCATGTCTTTAAAACATTTTCATGGACAAAAAAAATACCCTATTTCAAGTGTAGTGCTTTAGAGTCTGTATCTTATTCTGCTATGTAAACTTCTGGGATGAAGGTTCCCATGGCAAAAAACTTCAGTGCCTGTATCTCAGAGGAGGTGCTGGGACTACCACCCAGTTCCTCAGAAGGCAGCAAAAATAATTGTCCTGTGTAGATCCTCTGGGGATGGATGGCTCTGTGTCCCTTGAAAACACTGTACAGGCTGTTGTGGAACACCATCTGCTTGGAATGGCCTTAAACAGGGATTTCTTCTTGATTAGAAGGGCAGAAATCATATTCTGCTGGCATGTTTTTCCTCCTAATTGAAGTTCAGCATGGCTATACAAGGATTTGAAAAAGATTGATACTGTCTTGTTTTCAAATGAACCAACTGACTAAACCAGACACACTGTTGGACTCCTGTGTCAATGACCCCAGCAAGGGTTGACTGACTTGGCCTGTGTAGCCTTAAGGAACTTTCTCCTTTTATGCTAGTGTTGAGAGCAATGTAAATTTCCACCAGCTTTTTGTTCATGTTGGTAAGACTGAAAGTAAGTTACTAATATTGGTCCAATCTCATGATAGAAGTTGATTCATACACATTGTGAACGCAAAGCTTCATTGGTAAAGGAAAAGGAGAATGTATGGCATATGTTGAATAAAAGGCCTTTTTTTATTCTATGCTTTGTAAAACAAACATGATAATGAAATCTGTTGGTTTTCTGTTTAGTTTTTGTAATATGGAGGTGGCAGGGCATATGGCTGGCAAGGTAGACTTGCTTATATTACTTCTGTTTGGAGATGATGCATGTAACAATCAGTGAAACAAATACAACATTGCAGTAGTTTATGGAAAGACAGATAGTTACATTCTTGAAAAGATAATAAACAAAATCCCAGGATGTAGGTTTTTTACATTTTACCATTCTAGAAGTCCTTGTAATAATACAGGTGAGTAGAAAAGCATAATTTTAGATTATAGTTAGTGTCATGGCTCATGAGCCACACATAGAGCATTACTTATATCTTAGAGATTTGAAAACTGAGCAGGTTGTTACTCACTATTGTGGCATATACATAACTTCCAGAATTTGGGCTATTGTCTTTGAAGTGTGAGTATGTAGCCTGACTAATGAGTTGAACATTGCACTGCATTCTTCTAAAGACAAAATCCTAGTTCAGCCCAGTGTGATTTGTGTTGCAATTCTTCCCTTTCCTAACTCTTGTAGGAGATATGACTTTCACATCTACTAGAGTAATATTTACAAGTCATTTTCAAAGCACAGTGTCAGATTCTCTCTAGTTGCAGTGTAGTGAAATAGGGAGTGTTGAATGATAAGAAAGACTGTGAAAATATCACAGACTTTTAATGGAATATCACAAAATGGTATTTGCGAAGATGGGGCATTCACTGCAGTAAGAGGATGTGTGGCATTCCTCATCCTGTGCCCTTGCAATCCAGCTTCTGTCTGGACATTTCATAATAGAAATACCCTCCTTTGCAGGAAAAATATCCATGGGAATATGATTTTGTTTGGAGAGAGGTGGGTATAGTCAAAGGCACCCTGTTATATTACATATAAAATACCATTAAATCTATGAGAGAGCAGGCTAAACATTCATCAAGCAGTTTTCCAGAATGTATGCTGTAATATAAATTAATACAATTTGTGTTACATAAGTTGCTGTCAAAAAGAAATGTGAAAAACGTTCAGGTTGAGGTTTTTATTCAATGGGTTTATTAACATTTTAAAGTATGACTACTTGCTGCATTTTTTTCCTAATCTTTATATTAATTGATTGCATCTGCTTCTAGAAAACTGATCTCTGATGTCATTTCATTTGAACCGAGTGAAGTCAGTAAAGTGTCTGAGAATAAGGAGGCATTTCTCTTCTTCAACTTCTAGTGCAGTCAGCTGCCCGTATTCAGAGATGAACTTGAACAAAGAAAGCCTCTTACCTGACCGGTTGAGCGGGGAGATGCCTGCAGCCAGTCCTGTCCCCAGAAACAGAAAAATGGAAGCAAGTGAAAGATCCACCTCTCCTGTAATCAAGTAATTATGATTGAAGTGATGTCCATGACTAACAGCAGTACTTTATTTCAGTGTTCTGCAACATAATTTGTAATTGTGTAATGGCCGAAAGGTTTTAAAAGGCCTGCCTATTTATCTGCATTTTCATTTACAGAGAAGAAATGGTTTCATCAGTGCTTATCCAAAAAGGTCACCGAGCTGTGAAAGATAATACTGATTTTACTATGTATGATGTAACAAGAGTTCGATCTCATCTTCAGTGTAACTATCTAGACTACCAAATGGTTAAGTGGAATTTAAAATGGATTGTTTGCCAGTTGCTTTCACTTAAGAAAATTATTTGTGTTTCTTTTGTTTGTTGGGGTAGCCTTATTGGCATGACTGTAAATTATTGTTGCTCTTTGAAGAATAGCCACTATGAATTCTCTCATTATTGTGGGAGTAGGGAATCAAATTACTGGGAGTGAGTTTTGCAATAATAATGCTAAAGTCTGTAGCTGAAGCTTCTAGCAGAAGCACTGGGAAAAAGCAAAGGGATGTGATACCAAGATGATGATTTGCTATCAGAAATTATGGACATTGACTCCCGTGCTTATTTTGGGCTGTGGGGGTGCACAGAGGATTTAAAAAGGAAGGGAGAAGAAGAGAGGCTTTCCATTCTTTTCAAGAGCTACATTAATGTAAATGTGAAAATGTGAATGTTCGTAGTGAAGATTTCCAGTTCCCACTGTAATGACACGTATTTTCAGTGGATGGTATTTTAAATTACATTCTCGGAGATAGTTTCAGCTTCATGCTTTAAAAAACAAAATGCTCAGCTGTTAAGGAGTGCTGGCTGGTTAGATTGTTCTTATAACTGTGGGGTTGTAGAAATCTGAAGTGACTTAATTACCTCTGATGGGTAGTGCAGGTACTGTCCCAGTGAAGCCAGTAACAGCCCTGTGCTGCTTTTTTCATTGTCCTGAATGAGAGACTGAGTAACACTGTTAAAGGGTCCTGACTGCGTGACAGTACGTTGTGAAAGGGAGAGAAGGGACAGGAGGAAAATGATACTTCAAAGTTTTCTTGTGTTACAAATACTTGAAGTGGAGAGCTTATTATCAAAAATAACGAGGCAAATTCTCTTCCCGTTGAACATTTTGTAAACATTTTACTTTTGATTTCATCAGGAAGAGAGTTCTGTATTGCGATTTCTGAAAATCCAAGGTACACAGTTTTGCTGGTGGCAAGTGAGAAACTTCTACGTATTTCTTAAAACAAACAAAACCCTTGTATTTCTTCAGTTACACTAATGACCTTTTACCCATAGAGAAAATTAGCTAAACAACAACTCAGCTGCCCTCGGTTTTAAACATTTTGTTAATTTGTTTCAAACAGTGACAGAAAATGTCCCAGCCCTGGTCATGTAGGTCTGAAATCTTCGGCTCACAATCGATCATCTGGGAAAACTGCATCAGAAACAACTAAGCAGGAAGATGCAGAAAGTAAATCTCCTTGCAAGAAGCCTCTGTTATGTGATGTGAAAGAAAAGGCGGTACCTGGGTAACTATCAGTTCCTTTCGAAATGTGGGTTGTTTGGAGATGGTCAGTTTAAAATGCAGCTTACCAGGCAGTGCAGTACAGTGATTTGTCCGTGGAACTCTTGGAAGCAGTGGGGAAGGAGGTGGAAGTTCTTCAGCTGTCTTTGTATTAGAAATAGGAAGGGGGTGTCACAATGTATTTAAGAAATAAGAAAGCATATCAGAGGGGAGAGGAAAAATACTACAAGGCAGAGAAATTACTGGAAGTTGAGATCCTTCTCCTACCTCTTTGTACAAATATGTTATTGTACATATACAAATATGTACGTGCATTTAAAAATCACAAGGAATTCCTTAACTCCCAGGTTCTGGAATATCTTTTTGACAAAAAATGACATGAGAGGTTTCCAAGCTTGCATTGAAAAAAAAAAAAATATGTTTATGGTATAAGGTGGGCTATCTTTTTGCTTCCTTTAAAATCAGCCAGCTTTTCTTTAGAACATTCTTTCACATTATTTCAATCAGATGATATTATTAAAGTTATATTGAAAAATATCTAGTAGGAGCATCAAGCAATGTTGATATAATTTCCATATCATAAAAAAACAGCATTCACTAGTCGTACCTAAGTGAATTTAAATAGCAAAAAACAAAGACAGTTTCATGTGCAGTTCTGAAATGAACTGTGTTAAATGATACTTGTCATTCATTATTTTAACCATAATTGTAGTAAATTAACCTTTTTTTAGAAATAAACATTGACTTTACAGAATACCTCTTAAAATCAATGGAAGAACAACTTAATTGGTCTTTCATTTTTTTAGAGAGTGTTATCCTCATGAAGCACTAAAGTAACTGATCGACATGCTATCTGTTCACTGTATTGAGTCATTTTCATTCAGAGAATAACAGCTTTATGCTGACTTTGAACTACCCAGAGGCTTTGCAGTTTGTGTTTGAACTCTTTAAATACACTGATTACTATCTGCATTTTACCATGTAGCTTTCCACATTCTTTATGTATCCAGCATAGTCAGAGAGGACTTTTAGTTGAATAAACTTCCTTTTCAAAAGGCATGAAATACAGTGTTCACAACATTAGGTATATATGAACTGCTAGATTTAATAAAATATTGAGCATCTGGTTATTGCAATACCCAGTGGATCTTTTTAGATGTGTTTTCAAAGCACACATGCATAATTGAAGACCTCGATATGTATACTTGTGTGCTCTTTAGCTGCTGAGCTCGTAGTGTGGATTTAATTATGTTTGACTTCAGTACAGTTGTGTATTACTTCATGTTCCAGGTAATCTTTTGTTTCATAGAAGTCCTTAATTGAGGAACGAACCACATATGCAGCCTTGCAATTTATTTTGTTGTGTTAAATATAAGTGGTACTCAGCTAATTTCCAGTTCCACTTACTCCTTTTCTTTCTTTCTTTTTTTTTTTTTTTAGCTAGTGAGACGTATTTCTGCATACAAACAATTATACTAGAAAATTTGGGTTTGCAAAAATATGTGTATAAAAACTGCAGTCTGTCCCTCTGGAATGTTCCTGACATTAAAATTCAAGATAAAAATTACATGCCTCCAGCATATTCAGTTTTAATTTGAACATATCTTTATACTGTCTTCAGAGTAGCAAAAGAATTTCACTGTAATAGGAGTTCCTTTCTGGAAATATTTACAGTTAAGGAAAGCAAACACTCAGTCTTAGGAATCAAATGGTACTACCTTTTAAAAGAAAATTAAATTTATCTTCCAACACCTTTCCCAAAACCTTCATTTCATGATACTACTTTGCATAGAACTAGTGAGATAAAATTTCTGTATGTATGTTGCTATGAAAATTGTCCTCAAGAAAATATGAAGATAGATGTTTCATTACAGGTTTTGGTGATCTGTCTTCCTTATGTTGAATTACAGTAATAATTTACTTCGATTCTGGAATTAGGAAGATACTGTGGAGAAGTCCTTTGTGGCACAAGAAGGCATGCCTGGTATATGTGTTCCACTGGCATTGCTTGTCATACCGTTATTATTTGTGTCCTACCAGGCTACAAAGGCTGGATTTTCCAATTTATTTTGTTAATTTTGCACTATTAATAGTGTTTTAAATTTATTTCTGTTGATGTCAGTGAACTTGCAGCTCCTAGCTGATTTATTCCCAAACGCTTACCTGTATTTAGTAGTATAAGTAGTATTAATAGTATTTAATATTTAAATGGTATTTAATACTATAAATGTAAACAGTGGAATTAAACAGGTCTGTTTCTTCAGTGGATTTGTGTTTTGAGGTTAGCTAATCCTGATGTCTAACAAGGTGTTAGTTCTAGTTTGGCTTTTTTTCTGTGAGACCTTTGTAAAGGGATTCTTGTTGACTGCTTCTCTGGTAGATAGTAAAGCATGAATTCATGTAGTCAGCTTTCTTGTAGTCTTGACTTTAAGATCATTGTCTGGTGCCTGTTTCTAGAAAACATTTGTTATGTACATAGTATTTCTGAGAGCTCTGCATCTGTGATGTTTTAGTAAGAATCGACCAAAGTGTTCTCAAGTTATTAAAAGGAAATAAACACATGGATAATGTCAGCAAGTTCATATAAGCTTAATTTCTGTAAGAAGCCAGGGTAGAAATACCTTCTGAAGGCAGAGTTTGAAAAGGAGCTTCCCAGGGCTTGGCTTTAAGATGAAGATACACCCACTCCTTCAGAAGTTCTCCTACTTCCACCTCTCTTGTCCCATTTTTCTCAATAGGGGGAAGGCATTCCCTCTTTGCAAATGTTTGGGCTGGCAAAGCTGAGGGAGCAGCCACAGGCAGCAGTCAAAAAGCTGCTCTTTTTGCTGGGTAAGAAGTAATGAAAACAGAAACAAAATACAGATTTTTTTCAGTGGTATCATTAACAGCTGCACAACAGTGCATCAGTATAGTACAGGAGTTGGGGTGGAGGTGAAGGCTGGACAGAGAAAAAGGAGTAGATGTTGTTTCAGACAGCTCCTGGAAATGGCCTGGGTAACCATTAAGGCTTTGTAGGAGATGCAGCTA